CTAGACCATTTCTAGGAAGGACCAGAACGTTTTTCCTCCAACATTTTACAGTTTTTTTTTTTCCTTTGGAGGAAAAACTTACAATGGCACACACAAATTTCATGTGTACAATTGCAGGTTTTTAACAAACATATACACGTGTGTAACCCGAACCTCTAACAAGATATAGAACATTCCCTTCACCCCAGGAAGTCCCCTCAGCCCCTTCCCAGTCAATCTCTGCCCACCCAGAGGTAATCATTATTCCCTTTTTTCCACCACAGATTATTCTGCTTTTTCTAGAGTTTCATGTAAGTGGAATCAATGGCATGTTCTGTTTTGCTCAGTATGGTTTTGGGTTTCACCCACGGTGGTGCAGGTATCAGCAGTTCATTCCACTGTGTGAATGTGCTATGGTTTGTTCATTCGTCCTCCTATTGATGGGCACATGGCCGGTCCCAGTTCTTTGCTATTATGAATAAAGCTCCATGAACAATTTTGCTCAAGTGATTTTGTGTACAAATGTTTTCATTCCTCTTGAATAAATATCCAGGAGTGAAATGAGTGGGTCATAGTTAAAATGCTTGTAGCATTTTCCTCTCCCATCGGCAATGTCTAAAGGTCCCGATGTGCCCAGTCTTTCTGTTTTTTGCCATTCTGGTGGGTGTGTAGTAGTATTTCAGTGTAGTTCTGATTTGCATTTCCCTGATGATTTATGATAACAAGAACATTTTTGCATGCTCTTTTGCCATTTGTATATCTTCTTTTGTGACCCTAACTTTTTAAAATTAATTTTTATCTCTCTTCCTTAATAAGCACTGTAACTGGTATTGAACTTTTTCAAATAGGCATTCAACACATGAATTGAATTTCTTGCTCGTCCTTCAGTGAAGACTGCCTGAGGCATGCAAACACAGAGGGGTGATCTCTGCGAGGGGAAGCAAGGCCGTGCCCTTTGTCACGTCGTTCCTGAGTTCTGCTCTCTGGGGTTCTGGTAAGTCTTGTCATTGAGCAGGTACTGGAGACCAGTGGACTGGGTGCTGCTGGGCCATGTGGTCTGTGCTGCTCTCCCAGTGGGTTCTGATGCCAGGGGGTGGGCAGGGTTGAGGGTGCCAGAAAGGGCAGAAAAGACCCCTCTGCCCTAAAGAACTCATTGTACGGGGTTTGGTGGGGAAGGAGGCCGAAGTGCAGAGACCGCAGCTGAGAACGGGGAGGAACGAAGCACGGTCTCTAGATCTGGGTGTCGTCCGTGGAGAACCATGACTCCAACGAGCTTCTCCCAATCTCAGGTGGAGAGAAACTTGCTCTCCACGTGGTCAGGCGCATGTCAGCCGCCTTATCAGAGGCTCCTTTAGAAGCACCGGGTAGCCACAGAGCTGGCGCCCGTCCAGCACGGCATGACCCCGTGTGACGGCATGACCCCGCGTGTGCCTTTCCTGCCTGGGGCAGGACGCTCACACCCACTCTCGTCGTCCTTTGCCATGCCTCACCTTTGTCCTTTTCTGGGTCCTCCTGCCCACTCCCACTGATGTGTCCCCTGCATTTATGACACGTCATTTTGCTGTCGGGGGACATCACTACTCTATTTCTGTGGACTTGTCAGCTGCCCAGGAATTGCACTGGACATCCTTGGAATATACAGAGAAGGAAAAAGAGGAAAGTAGGGCAAAGGAAGCTGGATTAGGAAGAGGGGCAGGAAGTGGTGGATGAGGAGGGAGAGGAAGGAAGGGACCCACGCTCCTGGGGGTGTTGTGAGAAGGTTCACGGCACCTCTAGGTGCAGGTCGAAGAAAAGCACATCAGACGAAACACAAGTGACTGAAGAATGAACGGATGTTATGAAAACAGGGACTTATAACCAAAGAGATCTGACAATAAAGCTTTGTCTTACACTGTGGGGATCTATGTTCTAAAAGTATGTCCCGTCCCCCTGCCCCCTACTGAGGAGTTTATCTCATTTCTGGCTGGATTAAAAAGTGCTGTCATCCCACCTTACCCAAACTTGAAACTGTCCCCCAAAGCAGCAGTTCCAAACTTTTAAGATTTCTCCAAGAAAATTAGTTGGAAAACACAGGGAAAATAATGCGGCAGGTGGAAGGCCATTGATGGGACAGATGCAGCGTGGGGTCCACTCTGAGAGGTCCCTAAGGATGGAGCCAGGCCTGCGTCAGGCTGAAGAGCATCAGAGGGGAGGAGAGGAAAGAATCTCACGGCTACAGAGTCAAGGAGAGACAAGGGTGGCAGTGTGGTGACTGCCACCGTGAGAGCGAGCACTGTGCAGCAGGGAGGGACTGTGGGAAAGCGGCCCCTTCAGCCTGGGCTGGCACAGGACGCCCTGCACGTGAGCCACACTCAGGGGGTGCGTTCCCAGGCCCCGGCAGGCAACCTTGGGCCAAGTCCCATTTCCTCCCTAAGAAAAGCTTGGCCCAGGGAGGGAGGCGGGAGCCGCAGCATCTTTGTGGGACAAATCCCCCTCTGGGAGGGACGCTGCCTCCCCCACAGCGAGCGCCCCAGGCTGCAGTCCTTGGCTTTATGTTCTCCCTTCAAAAGGCAGGTGGAGGCGGGTGGTGACAGGCTGTGTGGGAGGAGCACATTTCCAGCGGCCTCTCACCGTCATGGGTTAGAATCACAGGATCTAATATTCGCATTTGGAAGGAACTTTAGAGATCAAGATCTAGCCCCATCATGCCGTTTTTCAGAAGGGGAAACTGAGGCCCAGAGAATTATTTAAGTGACTTGAGTGAGATCTCTCGGCAGTTTGGCGGCAGTGGCTGGCCTGAAAGTCTGGTTTCCTGAATTCATACCATGTGGAAGGGAAAAGGACGGAGAAAGATGGGAACCAGGGGAAGTTCTGAGCCAGTGGGTGCTGTCCTGGCCCAAAGCCCATGCAGGAAATGCAGGTGGATCATTTTCTGGGGATAGGAGTGGAGGTGAGAAGGGAGGCCACTGAGGAGGGACGCAAAGTTCAGCAGGCAGGAATGGGATGACCAAGGACATCCTCTGCCACCTTTGAGCTTTGACCTTTGGACAAACTGCTCTTTACAGCTTTACCAGCTTCTTCAGGTGTCCACTTTATTGTGTGGACTCACAGAACGTTAGGATTGGAAGGGCCTCTGAGTGGCTGTGGGCCGGCTTCCTGCCCAGCGGTGACCTCTAGGAGCAGCTCTGACTGTGACTGTTGACCCTTCTTGGAGCTTTTGGACAGAAGGGAAGTCCTGGCTGCTGGGCAGCGGTCAGCTCTGAGTAGCATTTAAATGTCCTGCAGAACCTTGGATATTCACCCAAATCTTTAGCTCATGAGCATCCTCAACCCTGGAACTGCTCGTTTCTGGGGAGGGGAGGGAGACGTGGGGCGTGGCCGTGGGCGCTTGTCATCCTGAGCACGATGGAGGGAATGTGGCAAGTATCTCACCGGACGTCCCCGAGCCAAGGATGACCACGTGCTCAACATGCTTGGATAAAGCAAGTAGGATTAATTGAGTAGCTCTGAAGGGAAAATTACCTTCATAAGAAGCTAAAAATAAACAAA